GCAGCAGGTGGTCCTGCAGCAGGTGGTCTGGCAGCAGCATGGCTGGCAGCAGCCTGGGCCACAGCAGCACTGCATCTTGACAGAGACTGGAGGGTCTGTCTGGGGTTGCAATAAGGTGGGTTGGATGATTTGGAAGCCTCCTTCCCAAGGTCTGCTTTTATACCCTGCTGACTGCCCACTGTCCTATGATTTTCTAGTAAACAAATGATCAAATGAGCCAAGATTCTCTGCTTGAGTCAATATCCAACTTGAAGGCAAATCATACTTTCATACTTGTGATGCGTTAGGCATCAATGGTAAATGATGGCCTCTGAACCTACCGGGAAATGCTTTTGTGTATCACTGAGAGAGCATCATCTGGAGTTCTCAGGGCTCATATCCTATGTTTCAGAGATGGCTTTGTGGCACATCTTGCCTCCTTTGGAATGCCAGGTATCATTAATCTGTTGGCTCACACATAATGGGTCATTGGGTACAGAGAATGTTTGTGGGAGGACATTGGCATGAGAACAGAGAGTTCTTCAGGTCCTGGCCCTCTACTGGATGGGTGCCTCGATGCAAATGCTGTGCAATGCAGCTCTAATGGGAAAATGCTAATGACAAGATTCTAGACAATCTTCATCCATGTAAGACCTGGCAATTATGAGAGTGCATCCCTAGCAAAGCCAGAAGATTGTGACAGGTTAGGGCCTATGACTACTGACCTTAAATTCCCCACCTATGTGAATGACCTACAGTGTGGTCTTAGAACCATTTTTCAGTGTGTTCTGCAAAGGGTGAAAAATGAAATTCCAAATGAAGTCTTCAATTTCACTGATTAATGAGTGGTGGTGTTCTAGCTTGAGTGTGCCCCTACTGTAGAAGCGCAGCATTGCTGAATCCTCTCAATGCTAACCTATAGCTTCTTTAATTCAGAATATATTGGAATGTCATGGTAGTTTCCAAATACCTATGTCCTCTATACTAAATATGGAGAACACATGATTTTGGTTAGATCTGAAGGATAATTTGTCCAGAGATGTTATAATTTCAAATATACCTAAGGAGGAAAGACAAACTTATCAGGAATGTAGCATCTTCCCTACTTCTCCAATATAAGATTCAATCTAGAAAGAGATGGACCTTCCTTGTGTTCTACATTATCTACAAAAAGGGGACAAGCATTTAATGTCTCAGGAGCAATCCTTTCTCAAGTGGATTAACGAAATACCTGCTTCTCTTTGAGTTGATATTGGGTCTCAGAAAGGATCTGCCTCCATTCCTTTGAAATATGTAAATCAGCATAATTATACAGCATATCTTGTATACTAGATCCTGGTTCTTTACACATTGAATAGAAGTGATGTTTTAAAATTCACCTCATTGACATTGAAGATCTGTTCAGGGAAATTGTAACCTGAGGTATTGATATATCACCTTATATTCTGTAATTCAGTATCAGATATGCCACAGTGTGATGGCACCAACTCTTGGAACCCTTGATGAGGGGAATCTTGGAAAGACTTATTTTGGGGCTGGAGAGATCATTAAACCCATTAAACCCAAATAAAAATTTGGTGGTCTTCCAGAGCACACAAGCCATTCTCACAGAACCTATATCTGTGGTTCAAATTGTCTTTGACTTTCCTGTAAGCAATTTTGACCTTATGTTTGGGCCCTACAGGAATCTGTGTTCAACTGTTTACATACCTACATATACCCAGTTTTCATGAAAGAAGAGATGGTACCCTTTGTGGATTAATCACTGTTTCTGGTTCAGCACATATGCTTCATGCCAGGTGGCATGGATGTGCTTACCTCTCCAATAACTAAACACACTAATAGTGCAAAGCAAGGCATCCAAAGATGAGTGAAGTCATTGAGACACCCTCTCCTTGATCCATTCAGGAAGAAGTGTACTCCTTTGTATGGATCCAGTTCTATGGATATGGAAGTGGGTTATAGATGTAAGACAGAGTTTTTTTCTGCAGGAATGAAGTATTTCCTGGCAAGATACTCTGTAAGCTTTAAATTATGAGGGAGCAAAGTCTTGAAAGTATGTGGGTAATACAAAACAGCCTACACTGGTGTGTGGTTAAGTGATGTTGACTTGTTCTGTAATATCAACATTAAAATGCACCATGATTTCAAAGCAGCATCTGCAAATTACTGAAGACATGTTGCTAAGCAAATGCTTCAAAAAATGGAAATTGTAAGCTTGGATAGAAAAACTTAATTGTGGTAGGGTCAGTAAAATTAAATTTGTCAATGTACCACCATTACTTCCATGTATTGAGAAAATTTCTTGAAGTTTCCAATTCTGAGGTGAAGAAGCAGGACAGCATGGATTTGAACCCTCAAGAGTAGATAGTTGAGAGTTGGCAGAAAGTACATCATGTGGGAAGTGATTCTCAGAAGGTTTGAAGGGAACTAAAGAAGTGATTGCCGGCATTGTGGAACTATTGCCTTAGAGAGTACCATGCAAAATCCATGAAATCCTGGGGGATGTCAGATGTCAAGTCATTAGAAACCCTGTGACAGTGGGAGGTGGCTCATGGAAAAGGAAATAAGAGCAGGGGATCACCCTTCACCTCCCACTGCTAGAGCTCCAATTGTCATCACTAAAGTTTCCTCCATTGTCAGTAAATGTCAGTGAGAAGTTTGTTTTCCGTTCATGGTCCTGATGTCAACCTTCTCTTCTAGGACAAAGAGCTGAAGAACCACTTAGTATCTTAAATACTGATATACTGCAGTGATAAGACACCAAAGCCATTGCAATTTATAGGGGACAGGGTTTTCTAAGAGCTTACAGTTTCAGGAGTTGAAGTGTACATTTTAGTGGGCTGTGTCTGCAGCCAGGCATGTGTGGATTAGAACACTGCAGGAGAGTTCACATCTGAAGAAGTCACCAAGGGACAGAGAGTGCTAACAGACAAATAGATTGTTTTCTTAATTTTCAAAACTGCCCCAAGTGATACACCCCCTCCAACAAGTTTTCAATATCCAAACCTCCCAAGAAACATCATTGACTTCAGTGCAATGTTCACATATATAACTCTATGGTAGCCTTGATTATTTACATCCCCAGATATAACATGACAATAAAGCTACTATTCACTAATACTTTTAGAGGTATGAACTAAAAAATTTAGAGATGAAGGCCAATAGTAAAGAAGGAGAAGGAAGGACACATGAATCTTTGATTTGGGTTTGACTAAAACATTTAAATTTATTAAAAGAAAGAAATTACCAGAAGATTAAAAATATGGCAAAAAATCCAAGTGTGTATTACAGAGGATGAGAATGTTTCCAAGTTGCAGAGAAACATCCTGGAGTGTGTACTTTTCATAAATTGTCAGCCAGGTACAATACAGCATATTTCTTGGGCAAAAGCAGTATCAGTGTGAACAAACCCTTTGGAATGGCCGATCTGGGTGTGGAGACAGTTGTTCTACATGAAGAGTATTTGATACTTTAGAGAGAAGAATGGGAAAGAATGGCCAAGAGTATGAAGCATGGGGCATATTGGTGAAGAACAGGTGTCCATAAGGCAGCTGTTTCTCCAGCAGGTGTTCTAGTAGCAGTTGCAGCCACTACAGCAGGGTTGACAGCAACAGGGGCAGCAACAGGTGTTCCTGCAGCAGGTGGTCTGACAGCAGCATGGCTGGCAGCAGCATGGCTGGCAGCAGCATGGGCCACAACAGCATGGCTGGCAGCAGCATGGCTGGCAGCAGCATGGCTGGCAGCAGCATGGCTGGCAGCAGCATGGCTGGCAGCAGCATGGCTGGCAGCAGCATGGCTGGCAGCAGCATGGCTGGCAGCAGCATGGGCCACAACAGCACTGCATCTTGTCAGAGGCTGGAAGGTCTGTAAGTGTTTGCAAGAAGGTGGGTTGGACTTTATGCCCATGTCTGCTTTTATACCCTGCGGAGAGGTGGCTGTCCTGATGTGCAGCAGCATTCCAACATCCTGATGATTTGGCAGGAAACTAATGGTCAAATCAGTCAAGATTCTCTGTCTGAGTCAACATTCACAGTGATGGCAAAACACACCTTCATACTTGCCATGTGTTGGGCATCAATGGCAACTGACGGTTGCTGAGCATAATGGGAAGTGCTTTGGGGTAACATTGGCTTCTGAGGGAGCAATCACATGGCATCCTCTCAGTTTTCATCCTGTGTTTGAGAGTTGGTTTTGTGGCATATCTCACCTAGCTCTGGAATGTCATGTCCCATTATTCTCACACATAATGAGTCAGGTAGGTACAGAATGTGTGAGTGTTAAAGAACATTTTCATGAGAACCTAGAGGTCTTCAGGTCCTGGCCCTGTCCTGGATGGATGCTGTTGATGCAAATGCAGTACAATGTAGCTCTGCTGGGACAATGCAAATGACAAGATTGTAGAGACTCCAAATCCATGTGAGAGCTTGCAATTATGGGAACACATCCCAAGCAAAGCCAAAGGATTGTGACAGGCTAGGGCACATGACTACTGACCTTCATTACTCTACCTAAGTGCATGACCAATTTTCTGGCCTTATACAAGATTTTAAGTCTTATGTATGGAATGTGGAATATGCAATCACAAATAGAGACTTTATGGTCCTTTATTAATAATTGGTAGAGGCATACATAGAGTGTTTCCCTCTAGCAGAATCATAGACTTTCAATGTCCTATTTAGGTTGTCCGACATCATTTCTGGTGTCTTTGGGTGAACTGGGGTTCATCAGGACTCTACCGTTCCCAGCCCTAATTAGTATTGAACTAAGGAATGGCACTCAACACATTGTTTCCATCAATTCTGTTCAAGAAAACTTCTAGAGACCCATGGGAGATGTTTTGCTGAGGAAGAGACAGTACATAAATTTGTTAAGAGAATCTGTAGGTCTGCCCTACCTTTTTATGTCAAACATTCTATTTAAGGGAAAAGAGGGCATTCTCTAGATTTCAGTATCTGCAAATAGTGAATAAACATTGGAAATCCAAATACTCATACTTTCTCTAGAGCACTGATCAGACCTATGTTTTTCCAGAGGTTGTGATTGTGTTTATGGAAGGATCTCTCCACTGAGCTCTGGAATCTGCTGGTCAGCATCACTAGACAGGATCTCTCCAGCATAGGATCACAGTTCTGCAAAGACTTCAGCATAGACATGATGCAAAGTATGGCAAATAAAGCAAACCATGGTATCTGATGTACTACCTCATACCCTACATTGCTTGCTAGGCACTGAACACTCAGAGTAATAACAACAAGGGCATAAATACACAAAGACTTCCTCGGTGTATGATTATTTGATGGAGAAAAGGGCTATTCTGTCATATTAATATTCATGATAACTTTATTTTTCTTTAAAAGGACCAAGTTCATGAACACCAGAGGCTTAAACAGTGTTATGCACACATTGGTGGGCACAGTCATGGCCAGTGTTCTTCTAGCACATAGTGGGAGAGAAAACTCAAGTGGTCAACTCAACTGGGACACACCAAAGGTTAACAATGACCTGCTGAATGGCCACCACACTGAGATGAGGAGCATGGCATCAGGGGCTTTTGATTCCTGGGGATTACACACAGGATTGATGGTTGACATTAAGTCTATTAGGGTGGGGAAATGACCCTGGATGAGCTGCAGATAGGATAGGAAGGACTTGAGAGCAAGAAGGGAGTCCTCTGGAGAGTGGAGCACCAAGGAGGACAAGCCCAAGATGGGAAGAGCAGTGACCAGGAATAGCAATTCACAACTTTGGGACAGTGTGGGGCACACCAATGCATTCAAGTACAAGGGAAGAAAAGTGGGTGCTCCTTCTCCACCTCTCAGAGCTTGAGTTCCCCATCCTAATAGCTTTACCTCTCCTCCCTAAATTTCCCTCTGTGGTCATAGAATAGCACTGAGGGGCAATTCTGTGCTTGCGCTCAGGTCATCCTTTCCTATTGGGAGAAATACACATAGGAATATCTAGGAACTCAAGTACTTTTCTACTTTGATCTGATAGATCACTACTAGAGCACCTCATGTTGAATGGGTTTATTGGCACTCAGAGTTTCAGAGGACTGGAAGGCATGCACCTCATGGCTGTTGAAATGAATGCAGGCAGCTGAGAACATCCATGGTTCAAGAGCTCAGATCACACACCTGAGCCACAGCAAAGAGGCAGAGGATCGTGCAAAAACATCCAGGGAGGGGCCTGTGAAACCTCACAGCTTTCCCCACACAAACACCACTGGAGCATGTCTCAAGCTCCTAATCCTCCCCAGACAATTCTACCAAGGGAGATCTAGGTCTCTCATATACCTCTGTTTATGGAACACTGTTCATTCAAAACAACAGGAGTGGTAATGTTGAATAGGCCACTATGGTCACTCTGTTCATGGTGGAGAGAACATGCAAGTATTTTCCAAATAAAGGTGACTTCACATAAAGAAGCAATGAAGATCAATGACACTTGTAGTTGGGTGTTTGTACTACTGTCACATTTATTCAAGGAGGGGAAAATCTACAGTTGGCAGTACCACAGCAAAGTCACAGAGCTTCATAGTTACAAGATGAGTTTGCTGAGTACAAAGCAATATTCAGGAAGATGTCCCTTTCAGAGATATGAAAAAAATGTGTGGGGCAGCTTATTGATGGGGGAAGTACTTCTGTGTATGCTTTATCTTATTGATTGTTAAATAAAATACTGTTTGGCCAATGAGGCAGTAAGTTAGACGGGACTAGGAGTCAAAGAGGATTCTGGGAAATGTAGTAGAGAAGTGGTGATCCAGGCAGGAAGTGAATGAGCAAGGAGACTCATTTAAGCAAGGAGAAATAGGAAGTGTTCCCCTTTTCCCCTCTGCTCTTCCTCCAGTGGCACAATGCGATCTACCTGCAAGGAGGGACACCAATGGAAGATGTCCGATAAGATAAGTCTTATAAAATATATAGATTTATGATAATTAAGACTGAGCTAACAGATGAGAATCCTAGTCATTGTCCAAGCAGCATTTGAACCTAATACGAGTTTCTGTGTATTAATTTGGGCCCTAACTTGGTAGGGGGTGGCTGGCGGAACATGCACACGTGGTGGTGGGGCTCAGCGGCTTTTGGCAGAAAGATTTATTGCAATAGTTTATCTGTTGAACAAAAGTAGCATCTGTTGCAAGAGACAGACTCTTTGCAATGGCTTCTCTGTATGTGGGGACAGTTGATCCACATGAGGAGAATTTGGTGGTTTGGGAGAGAAGAGTAGTTGAGGATGCTCATAACATGAAGACCAACACAAAGGGCATGCTGGCCAGGAACAGGCGTCTCTAAGGCAGCTGTTCTTCCAGCAAGTGATCTAGCAGCAGTTGGACCCACAACAGCAGGGTTGGCAGCAGCAGGGGTGGCAGCAGGTGGTCCTGCAGCAGGTGGTCTGGCAGGAGCATGGGCCACAGCAGCACTGCATCGTGTCAGAGGCTGGAGGGTCTGTCTAGGTTTTCAAGAGTATAGTTTGGATGATTTGGAAGCCTCCCTTCAAGGTCTGCTTTTATACCCTGCAAAGTAGCCACTGTCCTTTGATTTGTTAGTAAATAAATCTTCAAATGAGACAGCATTCTCTTTCTGAGTCAATATCCAAGGTGAAGGCAAATCATACATGTCATGTGTTAGGCATCACTGGAAACTGATGGCCTCTAAACCCACCAGGAAGGATTCTTTTGTGTGTATCATTAGATTCTGAGAGAGCAGTCACCTGACGTTATCTAGGCTCACATCCTATATTTCAGAGCTGGTTTTGTGGCAAACATTCCCCCCTTTGGAGTGTTATGTCTCATTAGTCTGATGGGTCACACATAATGGTCATATGGGTACAGAGAATGTGTTTGGGAAAGGACATTGGCATGAGAACACAGTTTCTTGGGTCCTGGATGGATTGCTTAGATGCAAATGCTGTGCAATGTTGCTCTGCTGGGGAATGCTTATGGGAAGACTGTAGAGAAACTGAGTTTGAATTATGTCAATAATGAAAACTCATTCCTAACAAAGTCAGAGGATCATGACAGGCTAGGCCTCATTTCTACTGAACTTAAATTCCCCACCTATATGATTGATCTACAGTATGGCTTTAGACCCATTTCCAGTCTGTTCTGTGAAGGGTGAAAAATAAAATTCCAAATAAAGTCTTAAATTTCACTGATTAATGAGGGGTGGTGTTCCACCTTGAGTGTGTCCCTAGTGTTGAAGCACAGCATTGCTGATTCCTCTCAGTGCTGAGCTATATCTTCTTTAATTCAGAAAATATTTCAACATCATGGCGATTTTAAAATACCTATGTCCTCTATACTAAATATGGAGAACATGTGATTTTGGTTAGAATTGAGAAAAAAGGTCCAGAGATGTTATAATTTAAAATATGCCTATGGAGGAAAGACAAACTCATCAGGAATCTAGGGTCTTTCCTACTTTTCCAATATAAGAATTCAATCCAGAAAGCAATGGACCTTCCTTTTGTTCTATATTATCTACAAAAAAGGAAAAAGAAAGCATTTGATGTCTCAGGAGTAATCCTTTCTCAAGTGGATTAACCAGATACCTGCTTCTCTGTGAGTTGATACTGGATCTCAGAAAGGATCTGTCTCCTTTCCTTTGAAGTAAAATTATGTTCCATATCTTGAATATTTAATCAGGGTTACTTATCCTTTGAATAGAAATGAGTTTTTTTAATGCACCTCATCGACAATGAAGATGTGTGCAGGGAAGTTGTAGCCTGGGGATTTGATATATCAACTCATATTCTGTAATTATCAGATATGCCACAGTGCGGTGGCATCATCTTGGAACCCTTGGTGAGGGGAATCTTGGAAAGACTTATTTTGGGGCTGGAGAGATCATTAAACCCATTAAACCCAAATAAAAATTTGGAGGTCTTCCAGAGCACACAAGCCATTCTCACAGAACCTGTATCTGGGGTTTAAATTGTCTTTGACTTTCCTGTAAGCAGTTTTGACTTCACATCTGAGCCCTACCGGAAACTGTGCTCAACTTTGTACATACATGCATATATCCAGTTTTAATGAAAGAAGATATGGTACCCTTTGTGGAGTGATCACTCTTTGTGGATCACACATAAGCTTTATACCAGTAAGCATTGATGTGCTTTCCTCTCCAATAGCTCAAATACACTAACAATGTAAACCAAGGCATCAAAAGATGAGTGAAGTCACTGAACCACCCTCTCCTTGATCCATTCAGGAAGATGTGTACTCCTTTGTATGAATCCAGGTTCTGTGGATATGGCAGTTTGTTCCAGAGCTAAGACATACTTTTTTTCTGCAGGAATGAGCAACTTTACACTGTAAGGTTTAAATTATGAGAGATCAATTTGTTGAAATTATGTGAATAAATAGGAAACAAGCTTCATAGTTGTGTGGTTAGGTGATGTTGAAAGACTTATTTTGTAATATCAACATTAAAAGACACCATGATTTCAAAACAGTATATGCAAATTACTGAAGACATGTTGCTGAAGCAAATTCCTCACAAAATAGAAATCATAAGGTTGGGTAAGGAATAATTTAACCTGGTGGGGAACAGTAAAATTATATTTGGCAATGAACCACAGTTACTTCCATGTATTGGGAAATTCCTTGATGTTTCCAATTCTGAGGTGAAGAGCAGGGCAGCATTGATTGTGACCTCTGAATAGTAGATACTTGAGAGTTGGTAAAAAAAAAAAAGTACATCATGTGGGAACTGAACCTCAGAGGGGTTGAACGGAACAAAGAAGTGATTGATAGCAAGAAGGTACTGCTCCCTTAGATAGTACAACACAAATCAATGCAACTCTTGGGGATGTCAAGCAATTTGGAACCCCTGTGACAGTGGGAGGAGGGTTCTACATTCATGGAAAAGGACATAAGAACAGGTGAGCACCCATAACCTCCAACTGCTAGGTCTCCCTAAAGTTTCCTCCACTGAAAGGTTGGTTTCATGTTGGTGATCCTGAAGTCAACCTTCTTTTCTAGGACAAAGATGCTGAAGAATCACTCAATGACTTAAATAATGTGCCCCTTCTGTGATTAGACACCAAACCCATTTCAATTTGTAGAGGAAAGGGTTTTCTAAGAGCTTACAGTTTCAGGGCTTGAAGTGTACAACCATCTTAGTGGGCCATGGATGCAGGCAGACAGGTATGGATTTGGAGCAGGGAAGGAGAGCTCACATCTGAAGATGTCACCATGGGACAAAGAGAAATAACAGACTTCCCTAAATGATATACCCCCTCCAACAAGGTCCTACCGCCTAATTCTTCAAGATAACATCATTGTCTTGGGCCCAATGTTCACATACATGACTCTATGGAAACCCTGATTATTTACATTCCTAGACATGATATGAGAAAAAGGCTGCTATGCTCTACCACTTTTAGAGATATGAACTCAACAATTTTAGGGATGAAGGTCATTAGCCAAGAAGGAGAAGCAAGGAGACATGAAGCTTTGAGTTGGGTATGACTAAAATGTTCAAATTTATTAAAAGAGAGAAATTATCCCAAGATTGCAAAATACAGCAAAAAACAAACAAAAAACAAATCACAACAACAACAAAACAAGTGAGTCTTACAGAGGATGACAAAGTTTTCAAATTGCAGAGAAACATCCTGGGATATGTACGTTTCATAGATCATCTGCCAGGTACAAGACAGCATATTTCTTGGGCAAAACCAGTATCCATGTGAACAAACCCTTTGGAATGGCCTATTTGGGTGTGGGGGACAGTTGATCTACATGAGGAGTATTTCATGCTTTGGGAGAAAAGAATGGGAGAGAACACCCAAGATCTATGAAGCATAGGGCATAGGTCATATTGGTGAAGAACAGGTGTATGCAGTTGTACTTGCAGAAGGTGGTCTAGCAGCAGTTGTAGCCACAACAACAGGTTTGGCAGCAGCAGGGTTGGCAGCAGGTGGTCCTGCAGCAGGTGGTCTGGCAGCAGCATGGTTGGCAGCAGCATGGGCTACAACAGCACTGCATCCTGTCAGAGGCTGGAAGGTCTGTAAGTGTTTGCAAGAAGGGGTTGTTCTTTATGCCCAGGTCTGCTTTTATACCCTGCTGAGAGGTGGCTGTCCTCACATGCAGCAGCATTCCCACCTCCTGATGGTTTGCTAGGAAACTAAAGGTCAAATCAGTCAAGATTCTTTGTCTGAGTCAACATTCACAGTGATGGCAAAACACACCTTCATACTTGCCATGTGGTGGGCATCAATGGCAACTGATGGTTGCTGAGCATAATGGGAAGTGCTTTTGGGTAACATTGGCTTCTGAGGGAGCAATCACATGGCATTCTCTCAGTTTACACCCTGTGTTTGAGAGTTGGTTTTGTGGCATATCTTACCTAGCTTTGGAATATCAGGTCTCATATTCTCACACATAATGAGCCAGATAGGTACAGAGAGCATGAGTGTGAAAGGTCATTTTCATGAGAACACAGAGGTCTTCAAGTGCTGGCCCTGTCATGGATGGATGCTGTTGATACAAATGCTGTGCAATGCATCTCTGCTGGAATAATGATATGACAAGACTTTAGAAAAACCAAATCCACGTGAGACATGGCAATTACGGGAACACTTCCCAATCAAAGCCAGAGGATCATGACAGGCTAGGGCTCATGACTACCGACCTTCATTTCTCTACCTATGTGAATGAACTTGGGCCAGATTTTAAGTCTGCCGTATGGAGTATGGAATATGTAATCACAAATAGAGCCTTTATGTTCCTTTATGAATGGTTAGTGGAGGCACACATAGAGTGTTTCTCTCTAGCAGAATCATAAATTCTCAACGTCCTATTCAGGATGTCCTGCATCACTTCTGGTGTCTCTAGGTGAACTACGGTTCATCAGGACTCTCACCTTCCCAGCCCTAAAGAGTGTTGAACTAAGAAATGACCATGAACACATGGTTTCTATAAGTTGTCTAAAGAGAAACTCTAGACACCACTGGGAAATTATTTTCCTGAGGAAGAGAAGGCATGTTAATCTGGTGAGAGAATATGAGGACTGCCCTAG